TCGAGTTTGTGGACAGTTAAAGTCGTGTGTGAATTTATTCAAGCCAGGAAAAGCAGGAGGGATAACTTATGGAAATCGTCTTTCCAATTTGATCCAGTGCGACGTTGTGAAAGGAGCGACTCTGTCGTATCATCTATGTCTAGTTTGTAAGAGAAAGATTGATAGCGCAGAAAAATCCACCAATAATGTAAAACAGTGGCGTGAAATTGTCAGTCATTCTAATATCTCCCAACCTGTGAACGAAAGGGTTAAGCGTGCTGCCTTGAAATCGCCTGCCAAAACTAAAATGGCGCGTGTCACGTGACTTTGTTTACTAAAGATAGCGTGGGCGTTTGATTGACACTCAACTCATTAGTATTCCACCAATCACAGCTACATCTACTTTCTGGATGTGCGCAGTCAAATTGTATAGGAGACAAGCTGGAGTCTCGTGTGGCGATAGCGATAACACCGGGACGAATGGTCTGGGGTAGCGCCTTTTTATTGGTTACTAAAATGTATTTTTGCTCATTTTAACTTTAACAACTTATATTTTATAGAACAATTCTATAGAGCTGTCATGAATTTGTTTTTGCGTATCTGTTGGTCGACTTAATTAGCTGACTATTAGCGAATTGCTGTGTTATGTCTGTCATCGTTTAGGCCTATTTGAAGTTTTGGACGGAACTTGGCTCAGTGATTTGGAACTAATTACCAGATAACCGTCGCAATTCTGACAGTTGATATTCATAGTTATTAATGTAGTGAACGATTAATCAAAAGATATGACGTATTCAGTACTTAGTGTGATTGGCTTTATGATTGAAGGTTACGCCCTAGAGTCTTTTACTGTTTTGTAATTGGTTAGAGTTTTGAAAATGAATAAAGAGAGTTTGAGTTGGTCTTGGGGAGCACAGCACGATAGACGCAGTAGAGAGAGTGCAGTCCTGGGCAGTCTAGAGCAGTCCTGGAGAGACTTGGAGCGAGCCTTGACTCAGTCTAAGAGAGTCTTGGGTCAGCCTTGAGATAGTCTTGGGGATTTTTCCCCAGGGCGCTGTGTCTTATAGAGTGCTCGATTGACCGACTAAGACGAGAGCTGAAACGTATTTCATTGTGTGTGTCTTATTTGACTGTAAAGCTTAACTGACTTTCCCGATCCCGTACCTCAAGGGGACGAGATATAGAGACGAGACGAGATTCCCCCCTGACGCGTGTGGAGAACCCCGAGGGAAGAGAATTTCCCCCTGACAGAGCGCTATCCACTAAAATACAACCATGATTTTCCCAAAAATCAACCTGGTGACCCCCATTTTTGTTAAGTCAATATTCTTATATTGCCTGGAAGTACAATATTTAAAAAAAAAATGAATAAATTCTGGGTTTTTGAAATTACGAGTAGGCATCTACCCTAACTTAAATAATAATTTCTTCTCAAAAAGTATAATTACAGATAGATTCTTCAAGTTGTCTCTATGTTTGTTAACCTGGGTGTTTCTTTTATTTAGAATTTGGTAAAATTAAAGGGCGGCAGTCGTCTTGCCGCGTGCTATTCGATATGGGACTCATAACGACGTATACAACGCGTGTAAAATACATTGTTTATTTACATAAAATTCGAACACGCGCTGCGCGACGACCACCGTGCTTTAATTGAACATCGAATTAAATTTTGGCGTTGTTTTGCAAAAGTTGGCGTGAACATTTTTGTAACTCGATGTCGGTAACTCACAATTCAACAACTCTAAATATGATCGTGTAAACAACGATTTTCTCATCAGATTATTAGCCAGGACAAAAAATAGAACTGTTTTTGGTCGGAGCACGCGTCAGTTCCAACGGCTGCGCGAACAAACTGAAGAAAAAAAGGGGTATCTTGTTCACGCCTACGCAGATAGACTTTCTTGAAGTAAAAACTTTCATAAAAATATAAATGAAAATAAAAAACACATCACCGCATCGTTTTTTAAAGCAACTTTGAACCAGAATCGAATCTTCTTTTTTAGGTCAGTTGTAAAACCATCTTCACGGGCGAGTTGCATGCTGGGCAATATTCAAGATGGCTGCCTCCTTAAAGTGATGTGCTTCTTCTTTTAACGTTGATCAATTCCACACTAACAGACAACCTTGTCCGAATTTTGGAGGTAAGAATGTGTGATTGTAAGGTACATATCCCATGGAAACTGTATCGATATGTTAGGATTGCTTGTGCACTGACATTGTACCAGCGTGCTGTGGCGAGTCAATCGTGATGAACATGATGGACATGTAAACAAACATGAAATGTCAAAGACCGATCATCCTTTCGGATATCACAAATTACAAATTGTTCAAAATTCGGCACGGTTCTAGAAGCCGTACCTGCACACAAATTGGTGATGTCACAAAATACATGACCTCAATCGGGGTCGTTTCCTCGGTAGGCACAGATCTAGAAGCAGTACCTACACACGAATTGGTGACGTCATAAAATACATGACCTTCAATCGGGGTCGTTTCCTCGGTATATACGAATTGGTATATACAAATTACAATAAAGATACTTAAGACATTACACATAAGGTAAAACAAATCACGTGACAATATAATGATAATAACGGTAATAAATCCTACTAGCTTAACAGTTGAAGAGAACGCTCATATAGTCAGTCGGGTGACGCCGAGGGTCACGAACTGTGTTGCAAAATGGCCGTGTGGTTGAAACTGGGTCATGGCGTGACGGGTGAGGAAGACATCATTAAACACTCAAAATCACAATAAAACGGGGAAGTGGTTGCATATTACGGCGTAGCTAACATGGGAAATAAAAAAACGCCCAATACAAACGACATGGGTTCGAATCACACTAGATACACACTCACCAGAACCGAAGCAATCAGAAACCAGCAATCGTTTTGGCTTTTCCGTTCAACTCATCGGAACACTGGAGTAGTTAGAAAAATGAACACCACTTAACGACCAACGTCGTGGCGTGGTACACAAGCGTGCCATCAAAATAAAACAAAATTAGCTTGAAAAGACAGTGGGTTCGAGTCCC